GTGGTCAGACCCTTCTTTGGGTCAGTTCCTCCTGGGATATTTTGGTCTGGAGCAGCTGTGACTGTCTGTTGAGTCTGTTGGCCTGAGCAGGTTTCAGTCACTCACATTGTGAAGCTGCATTTGTTTGGTTTTGTTCACTAGATGGCAGCAGGGCCGGGTGTGAACAAAATGACTACTGACCCATTAATAATAACAACAATAATAATAAGTATTATTATTAGCTATTATTGGCTAATTATAAAAATACAGTATTATTAATAGCTATTATTGGCTAATTATAAAAATAATCATAATAATACTAATAGTCATCATTATTATTGTTGACATGGTGTATTGGACAAATCTTTTTATTCTCAAATCCTTTTATGTGTATGTTATGGCCAAATACTGCTAATACGTGAAAACAATTCATTAAGAGGAAGACAAGCCACGCAAACGTTGCAAAAGATGCAAAAGTTAGTGGCTAATGATTAGCCAAAAGTAGCCCAAAATATACAAAGTCAGTTAAAAACCCCATTTAACCCAAAGTCGGTCATCTGTACTGTATGCCAACTAAACTAAAAGAGAAGTAAAAGTTAGGGGAAAAATAAATAAAACCTATTGTGTGATAACTAATCGTTAGCTTTATGATCGATTCAAATTAACCAACAGATAGCATGGATAGATAGCATATATATTGTGTATATAGACACATTTGACTTGCCATGTTATTGTGTATATAGACACATTTGACTTGTGAAGAAAACCGTGGTAGATTTTATTTTATTAACACAAAAAGACAAACTCTTCGTCTTTAACTTCTAGCTTTTTGCTACACAGTATCGTTTAATATGTAACATGACAGCATTATCAACAGGTGCAGTCATTATGTTGGTCCTTTCAAAAGAGCAGCAATGGAAAACAGGTTTTTTAGGCCTCTTAAATATAACACGTTTTATGAATCTATATCAAGTTTGGTGCATCATTTGTCCTTTATAGAAATAGATATCAATCAATCACTACAGAGTGGAACTCCTAGATAGGAGTCTAACCCGTTCCACAAAATAACAAAACCAATTAATTCGTTGCATCACCCCAGAAATATACTATTAATTAATTAAATCAACCCTCCCCCAATCATCAACAACGTATATATAAACAATGTATTGATCATATAAAATAATAATAATTAAGAAGACCATTTTATGTAACTATGCCCCCATGCCGTACGACTGAATGGACGCCAGAGCACTCGTAACTGGATATTTCCTCGTATCACAAGGAAAAGTTTGCAATAGTTGCACATTAATAGACTTGGAAAGATTTTAGGTAGCTAGTATCTCAGGGTTTCCACTGTAAATTTATATATATACATATATATATACATACACACTAACACATATTTGTGCATACATTAATACCGTAGGGTTAATGGCCACAATCAACGTGTTCAACTAATATTAAGGCACAACTAGATCAATGCCACACCGGTGTGGTTTATGGTGCGCTCACGCTACGGCCGTTGTACCGCACCCAAGCACAATTGCCCCCTAAAGCATGGATCCCAGCACTAGTGTGAGTGCAAATGTTGCTAAGTACATCTCGTGCTACCTCCGAAAAATCTGCCAATCGCCGACTCACGCAGTCAATACATCAAGACATTGGTTAGGGCTGATAGTTCACAAAGCATCACGATGATCAGAGGGCCGACTACATTAAAGATCGTTCACAAAGCAGCGGCAGTTGTTGTCAATTTGCTCTCGATCGCTCTGTGAACAACAGTCATTGACACACGTGTCGGAGGTAACCGGGCTTTAGCTCGCTCGCCTATGGGGTAATGTAAGTCTGGGCCAAAGGGGGTCAGGGGTCAAGGGAGGGGGGCAATTGGCACTTTAGCGCGGCACGTAGCAACTGGCCCTAGGTTGAGTGCGCCCTTAGACATCGTAAACATCAACGTGAGCTCCAGATTCGTAGCTGTCGCCCAGCAGCAGCTTCATGAGGACGGAGCAGGACTGGTCACAGCTCAGTACTTGACCCTTATCACACATGTCATTGAAGGACATCCTCAGGTTCTCATCAGCTGTGTGACTTTTAGCATATGCAAGCATGTCGGTGTCCAGCGGTCCTGAAAAAACAAACTTGTATGAGATTAGTTTCCTTTTTTTTTTTTTTTTGCTTTTCAGGACTAAACATGACTCCGTTCTAGTGCTTACCTGGTCCATAGTTAAGAACTCGGAAACATGACTCCGTTCTAGTGTTTACCTGGTCCATAGTTAAGAACTCGGATGTCCGGCTCTTCCTTTGCCAGCACCTTAAACATCATATTTCTAGCAGCCTTGCCCGTGCAGTACAGCGACCAGGAGGGATACGGCTGCAGGGCACATATTGACGATATGTTGACAACAGTGCGACGGAGACCATCTCGCTGAGGGAAAGCGTCCAGGACGCCAGCAGTGAGGCACAAACAGGAGCTGACATTGAAGGACAAGTAAGAGTTTACTTCAGCCATGTTGGTGAAGTTCCGAAAGAAGTGAGACACATCACCTACAGAGCCTGTAAGGATAGAGGGAGGGAATCAGAATTGTCCTATATTCTAGTCCAATTGTAAAGCACATGTGGTGGAAATGTTACATGCCTGGAGATTATTTACTTGTTGGAGGAGTGTTTGTGTTTAACTGTGTCTATTCATTGAGAAGTCCTGATCCTGGGAACATTCTGTACGGGTTTGAACATTTACATTGTAAAATGTTCTCAACTCAGTAGTTTATTAACCCTTGTTTGACGATGACCACCAAATTTACTGTTTTACTGTACCCCAATGTTTACCCTGAGGCCAGATATTAAAGACATGGGACAGTATAAGATTGGTTGAGACTTCCTGGTCAGAGAAGCTCATGTCTGGAGAGAGATTGAACACTTGGTACTTGGAACACTTTGTCCAAGTCTAGTTCCTTTGGCTTTTAACAGACATGTCAAGAAATCTCCACAACAATTTGTTGTCAGAAGTGGGATCTCGTGAGTGATTACCATCATATTCCAGTAATATTAGGAAAGACCTGGCATCTTCAGGGAGGGCTCTGAGATGAGGGTCAAAATAGGGATAGATACCCACTACAGGGTCCATAGGGCTGGAGATTATTCCATCTGTGAGGGAGTGTAAAGGTACTGAATTTGACATGGTTGATGCGTAGTTATCTGCAAGAATACTCGTATGGAGATGAGGTCTAAAGAGACCAGAGCCCATTTGTGAGTTTGATAGCAGGTTGAGGTGAAAGGTCCTTTGAAACAAAAGCACCTGTGAGCATCTGTACCATATTTCAGGAGTTTCAAACATGGCAGTTTTTGATTTAACCTGATCTAATCTGCTAACATGCTTAAAAAGACAGCAGATGTTTGTTTAAGACAAGGACTTCTTTAGGAAACCATTTATGTAGCAGGGTGTCCTATGTTCAGCCTGGGGGGGAAATCAATTTTTCAACCCTCAAATATGAACCATTTTGAAATCAAAGCAAACAACACCTACCGATGTGTATTTCTCCTTTTTCCCAAACTGGAAGAACATATAAATAGAAATGGATTTCTGACTTATAAACACACAAAGCAGTCGGCTGTGAAACATTCAACTTTGTGAAGACATCGACTTTGCCCCACTTTAACTCGACCAATTGTGAAGTGGATTGCATGGGACTGTAGACTAATCAATGGACTGATTAATACTGATAAGGACAGACAAGCAAATCTTGATGTGTTCTAACCCCCCCCCCAGTTTCTAAAGCAAATCTTGATGTGTTCTAACCCTCCCCCAAGATGCACAGTAATGACTAAGTACGACAAAGTCAAGTCTTGTATAATAAATTACTTAAACATGCGTGTGTGAGTGTGAAGTCACATGCAAATGCATTGTGTGTTATTTTTGGCTCAGAAGTGTAAGGGTAATTGATTTTCCACTCAGCATTAGTTAAATCATTCACAACGAAGACGAGGACGATGACCTCACGTGCCATTACAAACTGCTGCAAACAGACGGCTGAAGTTTGGAAAAGGGCTAGTGGGGGTGACTCTGGTCCACAAGGTTTGACTTGGCCTTCTTTAGGCTCTGGATTTATGTCGAAACATTACTTGTTGAGGATAAAACCTCCAAATCTGCCCCACATTTTCACAGTAAAATAAAGTACAGTTCATCTAGTCTTAGACCCAGCAAATAAAAATAAAGAATAAAATAGACTAAATAAAACATATTGTCATAAAAGCTCTTTAAACTTATCAGCTTTTTGCTCAAATTACAACCCAATTATGTATGTATCTATACAGGTTATTCAATAATAATTAAAAAAAAAATACTATAGCATGACACCAGCTGTCAATGTCAAAACTGTAGTATTTAGTTTTTGGGAGTATTTCGTCATGTTTGCATAACTTTTAAGAAAATAAACGTGTCAAAATATGACGTGCGTTACATTCATGTTTACACACTCATAGTATGTAAATGGTGGTTGCTTCCAAACTTGTTTTGAGTAGTTGGCAGTTTTTGAGCAAACGAATTTAAAAAAAAGAAAAAACAATCAGTCAACAATTGGTGCTGCTAACTGCTAAATATGCTGTTAAAAATGTTAAGGGGCGTTATATGGTCACTGTTATTTACTGTTTTGCTGTGCTATGCTGAGGAAACAGTGGTGAAACTAGACCAGTCACTAGAATTAACCCAGGTTGTTTGACATCTATATGTAATATGTCAAATTAATAGAGCAGGAAAATGATTATTCTTATTTAATAGGGACAATAATGACTCATCAGCGCCTCCTGGAGTTGTAGTGACGTGTTTCGACAGATCAGCATAATTTTAGGGGAGAAATTTTGAATGATTTTTTTTTTTTTTTTTTTAAATTCACTTTACGACCCTTTAACATCCATCTGCTATGGGAAACCCATTTGCTACGCCCCTGACAGGCTGTACATGAATGAGGTGTTGCGTAATTCAGTCATTACTACGGCTTAATCCTTTATTAAAGGCATATATAAATCACAGTATAGGTCCACTTCTCCTGGACGTGGTGTATTTTTCTTACCTGCATTGTTGACTAGTATAACATGATCCATGTCCGCCTTAAAGCACCGTCTGGCGGCGCTGACGATCCGTCCCGGAGCATCGTTGTGGCCGAGGTCCGCTTCCACACACTCCACCACCAGGCCCGCTCCTGCACCGTCACCGCCGGTGAGCTCCGTCTGCAGAGACCGCAGGTCCTGACCGGAGCGAGCCGTCAGCACGATGGCGGATCCAGGCTTTATGAGACGGGCCAGGTGTTTGGCCACGGTCCGACCTAAGCCTCTGGAAGCCCCGGTGACGATGCACAGAGCCTGGCCCAGGTCTGTTAGAGCAGTGGTGGACGACATGGTGATGACGAGAGCGTGCAGAGTGAGCGAAGCCCTGAGAGTGTGTGAGGGAGAGTAAGAGTGTGTGCGTATTTTTCTTCTTCCCGGCAGTTAGCAGCAGTAAACGCCCACTTGTTGCCCTGCTGCCATCTCTCGTTCATAACATGTTTCTCCTCCTCCTCCACTTGTTCCTCCTTTCCCTGCAGCGCCTCCTATCATTATTGTTTACCCCCATCCCCCCACTCCCTACAAAAAGTTCTAGTTCACATGACCTCCATTTTTTTTACTACTACTACTACTAGTACTTTTTAAAAATGTTCACATGACCTCCATTTTTTTACTTCTACTACTACTACTACTAGTACTTTTTTTAAAACTTTGTGTGATTAATAGTTATATTATGCTTGATTACCATTCATTATTATAATGACAATAATAATAATAGTAATAATAATACTGGGCATTGAAATCACCTGTGGGGTTAAGATAGATAGATAGATTGATAAATTGATCGATAGATAGATAGATTGATCGATAGATTGATTGATTGATCGATAGATTGATTGATTGATTGATTGATAGATTGATCGATCGATCGATAGATAGACAAACTAGTAGGTTAGTAATAATTATTGTTCTCTTGTGTGGTGTTGTTATTGCAATCTTTGTTATTCAAATGAATTAGAATTATGTGTACTGAAGTATGTCACTGCGTCCTATGTAATGTATATGTAAATACAGTATAAGCAAAATAAGTATAGTTATAATTATGAACATATGTTATATAAACAAGTATATAAATAGTTAATATAATTAATATATAATAGTCAATATATGAACAGTTTAAATAGTTAAATAAACATTTAGATATGAAGGCAGTTCCAGCAGATAAAATAGTAGTGCATGGCTATGTTCCCCCTGGATTCTGTCTGCATTGGTATCTGGAAGAGGTTCAGTTTTCTTGAGAGAACTCAGGACAACATCGTAGGTCTCCCCATCCCCATCCACACCACACCACACCACAACCCTTGTGACAACACTATCGCCCCTTGGTGTTGGGTGTGGTCAGACCTTTTAAGTCAGGCGTTGAAAAAAATCATGTGGGTCAGTATTACCGCCATCTATTACTTAATGTCTGTCCTGGACCTCACACTATTACAAATGTTATCTTCATCTATGTCAGGGGTGTCAAACATACGGAGCGTGGGCCAAAATTGGTCTGGCTAGGGAGTTCAATCCGGCCTGCTTGATTTTGATTTTGATTTTTGAAGTGAAAAAAAGATGCGCAAACACCTCATGTTCATAATGTTTTTTCAAATTATATTTCATTAAATATTAATATTTTCTAATATACTTCTTTGCATGAAAAGAAAGGGGAAAACACGGACTTATTGTTATTATGCCCAAAATTTAATTAACAAAATCTCTCCATTAGTCTGCAGTCATAATCTTTCAGCCAGGAAAAACATCAATAATTTACAGAAATAAGAAAAAAAGGTGCTTCTCTTCTTCCATCCCCACCCGTTAGTCTTTGCATTTTTACGTTTTTAGGGGAAAGACCAGACTGGTATTTATTTTGTTTGTTTGTTTTATTTCACTTTATTTGTAGGAAAGAAAAACTCTAACACATCTGTTCAAATTAAGTAGTTCATAAGAAGTTCAGTAATTCATCCCTCGCCAAAATTAAGTAGTTCAGAAGAAGTTCAGTAATTCATCCCTCGCCATAGGACAACATCAGATGACCGCTTTATCAATCAGCCGCCGTCGGTGGCCACAATGCACCCACTGTATATTTATAAACAAAAGGAACACTGTAGAAATGTTCACATGGTGAGAGTGTGTACATATAAATAAGATGTTTTTAGAGCCAAATGGCGATGCAGATCTGCACTAATGCATCGGTCAACCAATCTGGGAGAAGAAGAAGAAGTCCAACATGTTCTGACATGTAAACTGGAAGAACAGATGAGGGCGAGGGCCAATCGGAGCTGTGTTTTGCTGGCTAGAAGACAAGACGTGTGAACTGAGACATCCAAACCTTAGAGTATGTGTGTCAGGTAGTCAAAAAAAAAAAGGAGAAGACAGGATGACTGCTCTTGTCAACTGCTCTTTGTGACATAGCATAACAGTCTTTTCCAAACGTTTTTGGGCCCCCTGCATCTACACATTTACAGCTACTGGCATCGAAACTCCACTGAATTTGATTTAAAACACCGTACTTCCTAAAAATGGATTTTCTCACTGTAATACAAAAAAGAAATACTAAAAATTAATAATAATAACGCCAAGCCCTACGTGGACCTATTTTTCCTTGAAAAGTCACAATGTGAACTATTCCATGGCCTCTTGTACTACGATTTAGATCTATGTATATGGTAATGAATAGTATTTCACTGTATAATATGTAAAATAATTTAATAATAATAATATTATATGTTAAATAAATAATACAAATAATAATGATGTTCAATAAAATACTTTCTGATTACGATGCTACAAAAGCTCAAGTTAGACTCCATAGTTTAGTTAGTATTTTGATATTTTGTCAACTAAACCTAAAGTAAAATTAAAACAATGTCATTGATTAAATTGGGACTAAAACCGAGTTACAACTGAGTCAAAAGACTAAGGCTAAATCAAGACTGGCTGTAAAAAATAAACACTGCTGGATGTTTTTTTGTTTGTTTGTTTGTTTTTTGGATGACATGTGAAAAGCATGACACCCTGGCAGTAAAAAAAAACAGAGCAGGCTGCAGGTTTGATGTGCAGTTCTGACCTACATGTGTGATTCACTGTGGACACGTTTATCATTCTCAAAATCACTATCCTGGGAGATCAGCTTGTAGGGCTTCTTCCTCTCCTTCTCCTCCACCACTGAGTTTCCCATCTCCACATCTTTGGTGCGGAGCTCGTGTCGAGACAAAAACTCAATTATGCCGGCGCCGATGGAATCACCCAGAACATTGGTGGTGGTACGTAAGCGGTCCCTGCAGGAAAGTAGCAAAGTGTCAAAGTTTGTAAAAATGTTTGAAAACATGACAAAACTTATCCAGTAACAGCTCGTGGCTAAAGTTTGTAAAAATGTTTGAAAAGGACATGACAAAACTTATCCAGTAACAGCTAAATTGGAAAAAATTAAGAATTGATTACAATACAGTGAGCTATTAGTAAAAAACAAACAAACAACAACAATAATAGCTATAGGCTATCTAATAATAGCCAAACTATTTACTGTAGGTACTTGTAGCCAACTTGTAGTTAGCATCTTCCAAAGAAGTAGCAAAAAGTAACCGCTAAATGCTAGCCAAACAAAACAAAAAGGTTATTAACCACTGAAAATCAGTGATAAAAGAAATAATTAAAGTAAAACCTAACTCAGAAACAACTAAAATGGTAAGAAAATAAATGTGGAAAAAACCAAATGGCTGATAATAATAAAATAACCTATGTAACACATAACAAGCAAGTATCAAAAACTATAAAAAGGTTAACCTAGAAATTGAACCGACCAATAACGTAGAATGTTTGCCATACAAAAAATATAGCATGTTAGAAGTAAAATAAGAATAGTTACCAAAACATAACACAGAAACAGCTAAAATTGCTAAAGTGAGGAAATTACCGGATAAAAACAAGCCAACCATAGGTTAGCCTAACTCAAGTTAGCATCTAACAACTGCAGCTTAAATTTTATCTTAACAAAAATTGCTTTTTTTAAAATGTAAATTAATATATAAAACGAAACAACAAAATGACCGTATATAATATCAATACAAGTGAGCATTGCTGTTACAGAATTCTTTTTTTTTTTTTTTTTGTGGCTTAAACTGGGCCTTTCAGAGTCAGCCCATTTTTCCATAATCCAGAAAGTTTTTTCTTATTACCCCAGTTAGCTGAGTAATTTCAGAGAAGGGTATTCTAAAAGAAATGATTAATTTGGGAAACCTAATTATGTTTCTATGTTAAAACTCATTGCAGAAATATTCAATACAAAAGGGAAGATGTGGAGCGAGACTCCAGGGAGAAGATGGAAGTGTGTCACTGGTTGGCAGTATATTCACTGATGACCTTTAATGTGACTGAGGATCTTTGCCAATAAACAGTGTGAGCTACTCACAGGAACCAGTCAACTGCAATAATGAGTGTGATATCATCGGTCGGGAGTCCGACAGAGGTCAGTACGATCACCATGGTGACCAGACCGGCCTGGGGGATGCCTGCGGCTCCAATACTGGCAGCTGTTGCTGTGATACTTGATGAGAGATAACGATAAAGAACAAAACAGAACTATGACAGGAACCTTCCCGTTGACAGGATTACTCAAATATTCAAATCGAGTCAAAACAACAGGTTAAACCATAGGTTAAATCATTTGGTCTTTAAGCGTTGTCCTGTAGTAGAAGGAATACAACAAACATGATCTGAGATTCAGCTGGACTGCACCATAAACGGCTCTCACATTTCTTAGCGTACCATTCTTTTTTGGATTTTCTTGTGGTAGATTGTTTTTAGAATTTAAGATTCTCTGGAACCACTTTCCAAACGAAGGGCCACATTAGGTTTTTTTAGCATTTTGAAGTTTGGCTTAACATTTCTACCATCACTAAGGCTTAGCACATACTACAGAGTCTCCAGATTTCACCCACAATAACAAGTTGGACAGGGTTGGCCCTTGTCTACAGTAGTTGGTGACAGTCAGCATGGCTAGCTGGCACAAACCTCTGTTACGGTCTGGGCTTAGATTTCCAGCTGTAATGATTCCTACCTGATGGTTATGATCTGTCCGAAGTTCATTTCCATATTGTTGACCTGAGCTATAAAGATGGCGGCTAGGGCTTCATACAGCGCTGTTCCGTCCATGTTGATAGTGGCCCCCACGGGGAGCACAAAACGTGTTATTCTCTTATCAATTTTGTTGTTCTCCTCCAGACATTTAAAGGTGACGGGGAGAGTGGCTGAGCTGCAAGTGAATTCAGATAGTTGGATTGTTTAGCAGTCAGAACACATCGTGCGTTGACGTGCGGCCATGTTGGACAGAACTTACCTGGAGGACGTGCCCAGTGCTGTGACCAGAGCTTGCACCAGCCCACCAATGAATATAAAGGGGTTCTGTCGAGTGATGGCGAAGTATAGAGTAGGAAGAATGATAACGCCGTGGATCAATAAGCCAATGATGACCGTGATGGTGTACATTCCCAGTTGACCACCCATCTGTGTCAGGTCATCCATCTCCACAATCTTCCCTGCGATGAGGAACAGGATACCAATGGGAGCATACCTGAGAGGATGAGGACGAGGAGGAGGAGACGTGCAGTGAGTGATGTAGCGACGGTGCAGTTGTTTGACAAACTTCCACGGGTGCTAAGACCTACCACATGATAATGGCAACCAACTGCATGATGGCCTCATTGAGGCTGTCGAAGAAATCCCTCAGGAGCTGACCCTGCTCCTTCATGTTGCCAATTATCAGACCAAAGCACATGGAGAAGACCACCAACCCCAGGGCGTTGACAGCATTGGTCTGACCCGCTATCGGAATCACTTCCTCCCGAATGATTTCCACCACCTCCTGGGTGGCATTGGTGGAGTTGAAGAGGGTTTCGTTCACCGTCACTGTCACGTGCACCGCCCTCTTGCCATATTTGGTTTTGAACTGGAAAGGATGGAAGTTAAACCGGTGGTAGGTTGAAGGTCAGCTGAAAGTCTGACTAAACTTATCGATACTTCTGGAGGATGTTGTCCACGGGATGACAAAGGAACGTCGTCATTTTGTACCGAGCTATTCGTAATGTTTCAGTCTCAAATGTGTGGAGTCCTACTGAAAATTCAATTAATTACTTTTTGGCCTATCTTTTGAGACCACTAATGCTACATCCATTTTTTATATACAGTCTACAGGTGAACTGGAGTCAGTCGAGGTCAACATTCCCATGCAACCATTCGCCACGAGACATTTTTAATCGTAAGTCAAAGACTCACATTAAGATAGTCTAAAACAGGGGTCACCAACGTACTGCCCGCGGGGCACCAGGTAGCCCCAATGGACTACCTAAGTTGCCTAAGTTGGGGCAACAAGAACTGCACTTGCGATGGATGCAATTACGACAGTGGGAAGAGTGTCTACTACTCTGTGTTCCATTATCACTAGATACTTCAGGAAGTGTGTGTCAAACAAGTAGCCCTTCATATTACTAAGTGCCCTATAAGTAGCACATTGCTGTGTTGCTTCTACATCAAATAAATCCTTTACATACATACTGTGGCTGTAGGTGAGCTTTTGCGATAAATGAAACTGTGACACCATCATCAGAGCCAATGACTGTAAAAGTTGTTCGTGATGCTCACCTGCTGAGTGCAGGCTTGGACCAGGTTGGGTGGAAACATGTTTCTGAGGTGAAAGAAACACAGTAATGAGAAGATTTAGTTATGACCGTAATGACAACGATGTCACCAAACCTGAAGGGCGGCGCTGCTCTACGGGATACCTGATCAGATCTAAGAAGGCGTCAGCAGGACTGACTTGCTCTATTTTCTGCTGTTTTCCAAACTCTTCCTTCGAACCCTTTCCCGGATGGATGATGAGGACGATGATGATGCCGATGAAGACGGCGATGAAGGTCGTGCTCATGTAGTATATGACGGCTCTCATGCCCATCTTTCCTGAGGCCTTGCTGTCCAGAGCTGCCATTCCTAGAAGAAGCATGGGGACACTTCATGGGGACACTTGAAGTACAAATGAATATGGTTCCCTAGCATATCTAGATAGAATGTTACTAACATGTTGGCAGTATAAAATCTAAGGATTAATCACAGCTGGGTAATGGTAATAAGACACTGTGTGCTCTGCCCACCTATCATGTGGTGGAAAACCTGAAGACAAATTCACGTGACCATGGCAACGCCAGAAAAAAAGAGCTGCCATCATACATAAACGTGTGACGTCATTAGCGTTACCTGTTACCAGGCTGGAGATCAGCAGAGGCAGCACAAGCATCTGCAGCATTCTCATCAGCAGCTCTCCGGGGAAAGAGAAGTACTTCACTTCCCTGTAGCTCATCTTGTAGGGACGAAGACCAAATCCCAGAATAATTCCTGTCGATGTAGACAATTGGAGTAGGTCTGGTCAAAACGATAACTGAGACATTGTCTCTGTAGCCTCAAGAATGACGCTCACCTACAATCACGGCCCCGACAGTGAAGAGCACAAAGGCGTTTTTCTTGAGGAAAGCCTGCACGTCCTCCTTGGAGATCTCCTCTACTTTCCTCTTGGCTTTCATGGTGCGTATGTGAATATTTTCTCTGAAACGCTGCATCCTGCTGCTGGAAACCAGAACATGAGTCCATGTCTGAACACCTTCCAAAGTAAAGCCGAATAAAAGTCATCTGGTTGTAATGTCACTTCTTTGGGGCAGCCCATGGCCTCGTGTTAAAGAATCAGGACCTGGCTGTGAGGTGTGGAGCTCCTGTGTGCCTCTATATGAACTATGTTTGTCAAATTATTATTATTTTTTTTTTAGGATTGATAGATCTATCTATCTATCTATCTATCCATCCATCTATCTATCTATCCATCCATCCATCTATCTGTCCGTCCGTCTGTCCATCCATCCATCCATCCATCCATCCATCCATCTATAGATGCTATAGATGTCTCCTCATGTTGTGTAGAGACTAGTGTTTTCAGACAAACCTCTGAGTGCAGAACAGCGAGTAAGTCTACGACTGACAACTCAGACAAATGAGTGCAGGACAGCGAGTAAGTCTACGACTGACAACTTGACCGACAAAACTGTCCAGTGGAAAATTGTTCAGGACCGTAGACGGATTAACATTTTACGTTTAATATACGTTTGTTAAAAGGAAACTCTCATCTTGTTCTAGAAGCTACTGGTAAAGTGAAAGAAGTAATGACCCATATCCAACAACTCTGTGAAGATCAATTTTGAGTCACTCTTTTGTTTAATTTTCCATTCAAGTAATTCCACCGTTTGAATTAATCACAAATGAAGACAGATTAGCCATAGACCCATAAGACGATTCCCGAGGAGATAATAATAAAACGAGTATTTCTGCAACCGCATGGTGTATTTGAATACTTTTTTGTGTTTCAGTAAAATGAACACTGTCGAAGAAAGGAACAAGAGAAATATCATACGTAAACAGATATTCAAGAAAATCTGTGATTGTTGTGAGATAAATTGACATGGACCAGAACCAGGAAGTTGAAATCCTAATAAATTCAATAAAAAAAAATCAATGATAATTCCACAGTGAAGTTTCAAACAGTTTGTTATCATGAGAAAAGTTGTATACATTTTGAAAACAAACACATGTTGTTCAGCATCTCTTACCTCTTTGGGCTGCAGGGGTCTTCAGTAAATTCTCCTCAAGTTTAAGACCCGTGAAGTCGCGGAGTGGGGTTGTGGGGAGGAAGAGCCCGCGTTGTGTCTGGGATCCAAAGTGAACACCTGTCTACCTTCAATGTAGTAAGAAAAGACGAGAAGTAGGGTAGACGTTCAGAGAGCGAGGGTGGGTGGGTGGGTCGGGCTGAGAGAGAACGTGAGGTGAGAGACGTCCTCTAATAACACAGATAGCCCTGTTAGACTCTCTGACACAGTTTTGGCAAAGAGACACAGATCTGTAAGGAAGTTAGTGGAGAGTTTTGACGATCGCTGAGCACCACGTCCAGAATTTGGGATTTGAATCTAGAATCCTATGTTGTTCAACAGTTTATGATTTATTCAACAACAGACATACTTCATCTTAAATGTTGCGTTCACTGCTGTCTTCTGTGAAACCATTTTTGATAAAAGCAAGAAGTTTGTGCTACAGCAAAATAGCAAAATATAAGGTTATCATTATTTCAAATATACAGAGTTACTAGTGTACATGTAGACTGTCCAAGTCCAAGGTCCTAACAAGTAGAGAGGATTGTTTAAGGAAAGGCCTCCACTATTTAGTCCTGGATTTGCAGATAATCCACTGTGTCCACATACAGTACGTCTTTCCTATTTCCTTTTTAAATTCATTTGCATGGTAAGAAAGACTAATTTATGCAGAAACAACTGATATTGACCTAAACCAAGAAACTGAAGAAAATGTCAGATTGCAAACTGAAACTCTATGTTGAAGCCATGGTCCCAGAGTGTCATTTCATTGCAATTTGATGGATGTCTTTATACGCATATTTTATCCAACAAGGCAAAATTTTGTGCACATTTTCACACATTACTTAACAGCTTACATGAATGATTGAGATTAAAATATTTTCTAAAAGAATATAGTGATGGTTTAAGTTGAGTTGAAGTAGCTATAGTTGCCCTGACATTAAGATTCAAAAGGGTTTAGAGCTCAGTTTAACCAGTATTGCCTCCCCCTGGCGGCCAAGTCTTAATTCTGCTCCACTTTTTTCCAAGTTTCGTTTGAAACTATTACGGTGATTTCCATGGTAAGATTAATTTCCAATACATTTGGTATATGTTTATGAAAGGTGGTGTATGTGAGCCGTATGCAGTAATAATTACCGGATGTAGAACTGGAAAATTTATATTAAGGCCAGTCGTGGTCCTATATGTAAATACTGACTGGGACTGGGATCCGTGTGTGTACTGTTGAGACCCAGAAACACACACGTACACAGACAAGACATAAGCTGCTCGACAATAACCAAGTTAAATGATACACATGATCTCGCTGGAGACGTGTCATAGTTTGAGGTAATTCCACAGAGTGAGGGACGTGCACCACAATTAGCAGCTCCGTAATAAGTGACCTCACTGTATGGAAACATATCCCCCCGTGGTGAGGAATATAATTAGTGAAGAAAACCCTCAAAATCAGGTCAGGTGTCTTTTTTACAAACACCATTCCCTGTGGGAAAGGAACATTGGTGCCGTTTTACTTCATTCCTCAGACTGTCTGAACATGAGCGGTGGTGTGAACAGATTAAAATCCTACTTTAAGCCCAGACTAAACAAGCGATGCACACATTGTTGTATGGGACGCTATGCAGTCTGTGGTATTATTTATTAACTGTTTAATGTGATGTCGGTTTAGTACAGGTAGATCTATTAAAGAAAATGAAAAGTTATAATATATTAAAAGAATTATGGCACTGTAAATTAATCAACCTGCTGATCCAGTCTACTATTTTGATAAAGACTTATACGGTGTGATTTGATTGGCCCGATATATTTATAAGTAGCTATATGCATGTGTGTGTGTGTGTGTGTGTGTACCGTGAGGGTAAAGAGTAAAAAAAAGTGTAAAACGACTGAATGTTCTTACCAACGTGCAGACCACGGACGCCCCACACAGAAAATATTAATACGTTCAAAAAATACATTCTAATGTATTAACATTTAGAACAAGGGTAAAATGTGTTTAATAGCGCATTTAATATATTAACAATTAATTTAGTAAAATGCCCGTTTCCTAGAATTACATTACGCAATCGCCAGTAGAGGGCAATACTGATCCATTTTTCTTTTCTTCTGTCCGTGAACACCTCGGGGTCACGTGTCGCGACGCGCGCAGGAGCAGCCCCAAACAAACGTCAGACATTTTAGACCACGCCCCTGGTAGGCCAATTCACATCAGCCAATCAGATTAAAGCAGACAATCCAGTACGTAGGCGGTTAACACACGCGGTAGTTACGTGCCTTTCAGGTCGTACATGACCTGTTGTGATTGTTTGTGTTTTGTTTTTTGTTGCCGCTCACTTTTACAAGCCACATAGCAGGGCAGACGCGGCGTGTCGTCACCGGAGCCTGTTGTAACGGTCTCCTCTGTAGGGTAGTACCCTAGCGGAGGTGTTTTAAGTGCGCGTCATCTCTGTTAGAAAGCTGCTGACTACTGTTAGCGTTAGCAACTGAGCTGGTGAAGTATCGCGAGCTTTTAAACGTGACCAAATACGGTCGGTAGGTGGACTATTTAAGGTGTACGTTACTTAGTAAACAGTTTAACTATTTTTCGAGTGACTACAGATTCGGAGGAGGAACTTTGTTTCTCTCCAGCTCAGAAAATCTCATTGTTAGTGTTATTGACCTCCCCGAGGGCACCAGCGAAAGGGAGTGACATGACCCGGTGTGTCCGCTCTCCAGCACCTGAACCCGGACACTGAGCGAAGTGTATAGTCGTGTGTTCCCCGGTGAGAATGAGTCGAGGCTCGGCCCTGAAGCTGCTTCTCGGTAATCGAGCTGTAACCGTGCTGTTCCGCTCGTTCCACTGTTCACCATGCAGCGCGGCTTTATCGAAGCCCACGACCGGGTTCAACCCAGAGAGAGTGGCCGTGGTGACGAAGACCACTCGGTATGAGTTCGAGCTGCAGCGGTATCGGTATGCCGGACTGTCCGAAGAGGACCTGAAGCAGCTGGTAAGACATTTCGTTGAAGGAACGTGAAGACATACCTCCATGTCACCTTCAGTTTCATGTTGACAACCTGTTATGATAACTTCCAGTAGCACATTATTTACCATTTTCGGTTATTAGCATCATATTTTCCCGTTTTCTCAATGATTTATTTCTCTGGGGGTACCATTGTGGTCAGTCGTACCGTTTCATTAAGGCAGTGCATCCAATTTAGTAGCACTCTGTGCAACTTTCAAACGTGTCCTCCTGTCAGTCTGCCCTTGAATATGTTTTAAAATGAAACTGACCAGTACTGCTCATTAAAGTCAGTTGTTAAAACTGCATTTCTTTATTTGCTTTATTTTTAATTTGCATACAGAATAAATGTAGCTCCCCCGTCACAGTCCCCCCAAATAAAATGGAGGTTAAATGGAGGTTGATTTTTATGTCCTCATAGTCAATCACTGTGTTCATGTTTTAAAAAATCCCCCTGTGATTTTTGTAATCTCATAAGAAAAAGTTACATGCAGTACATGCTCTACATTTGTTTCCGCAGCTTGCCATGAAAGGTTCCAGCTACAGTGGACTCCTGGAGAGACACACCATCCACACTAACAATGTGGAGCATATAGTGAAGAGCCTGAGGTAAGACGTTTCATAATTAAATAGCTAAAAGTAAGCCAAAAATCCTGCAATGTGTTGGCAAAATTTGCTTCATATTTTCTAAAATGTTTCAAACACACCGTTTACCCAAATGTGAAAGTGAAAGTAAAATATAACAAATGCTTAACCCAGCAATGGATATTTATTTATATAACAGAATATTAAATAAACACTATGCAAAGTAGCAAAAAAAAAGGTAATAGCCAAAACAGTAGCTGCAAAAACAGATAAAATGTGAAAAGAAAAAAAAGAGCATCCTGAAATTAGGAAGTGACACAACACAACATAGAGTTTAGCACTCCCTGCTCTTCTTCTAATAGTACGAATTCCTTCAGTAAAACATGTGCCTTGCATGGATAAAATCTTTTTTTTTTTTTTTTTGAGTGTTGGCTGTTGCTTTGCGTGTTTTTTTTTTTACATGTAACGTGCACTGCACAGCCGCACTAACTGGGCTAACTTGTGATTCAACTAACTTCAACAAGCTGCTGTATGCCACGTCTTTTTTCCAAAATGGTGATGATTGTGATGATTTGTGTGTTTTCAGGAGCTAAGGCACCGAGGTGAAAGTGGTGAAGAGAGGAGAGTACGATGAAGAAGTGGTGCGATGGGCAGACGCCATCATCTCTGCTGGAGGTTTGTGTGTTTTCACAAACGTACTTGTGCATACTTGTGCTTTTATATCTATGTTTTTTATGTATATATATATATATATATATCTATATTTATGTTTAGGTGATGGGACAATGCTTCTGGTCGCCAGCAAGGTTTTAAGTAAAGACAAACCCATTGTTGGAGTGAACACTGACCCTGAGAGGTAAAACACTGACTTGCATAACAAATGTCACATTTTCAAGATACTTTCACTGTGTCACATTGTACTTTTAACAAGCAGTGAGGGTAAGGAAAACTTCAGTCTGACACATAAGTCAATAGAGAAAATAGGTTTCAGCTCAGGGAGACATTAGAACTATTGTCCTGTGCTTCCTTGTTTGGTCAGGTTGTCGCAAACCGCTGGTAAATATGAAGAAAAAAAAAAGTAAAACTCTTACAGAATTTGACGGAGTCACAGTGGGTCAATAAGTCAAATTCTAGATTGTCCTGTTAATCGTTTGTGAAGACGAAAGTAAGCGGCTGACAAATCCCAGCTTCCTTTGGTGAAAGCCTGTCTAAGAGAGAAGGCTAAAAAACACATTATTACATTGTTGACTTAAGTAGATGTTGATCTAAAAGTGTTAACATTCCTGTAATGCCTAAACCATGCTTCCTGAATCGTATCATAAAGGACAAAAAGTTTCTGATTTCGAATGTAAACATAAAATACATGCAATTTTTCTTTGGCCTGCAGGTCAGAAGGTCATCTGTGCCTGCCTGTACGCTACACTCGAGCCTTCCCCGAGGCACTGGAGAAGCTCTGTCGTGGTGAGTTCAGGTGCGTATTTACAGACTAGTGTCCAAAACCTCTGTCTTTCTAAGGAGCCCTTAGATCTGGGTGAAGCCATTCGATGTAAAACGTTGTGTTGCTCTAAAGTTCAGATGGTTGTCTTTGAGACACTGTTCTGAGTTACTGAGTTTGTAGATGAGGAATGCAGTGGGAATTGTGTCAGTTAGACAGGTTCACAGCTGCAGCACAAGTTATTTTAAACATCCAGGTGGAAGTGGAGCAACAGGTGAAAAGCACTTTACACTTTCCAAAACATGAACCAGAACTGTTTTAGCTAGCTTATTCAGTGATTAGAACTAGCGCTATCAAAACAATATCACCTTAAAGACATTTTGAGGATTCATGCCCAGACACACTTTTATTTTCCTACTGTGTGCTGTGGTTGTGTCCCTGCTAGAAAAAGACTCTTGTGAAAATGTATGAATCACAATTAAATTTTCACGTGTTGCACAGCAGTGAAGCTCACCTTTAATTTGAAGCCTTAGCCATGTTACAGCGAGCAACATATGCACTGTATATATGTGTGTGTGTGAGCAGAGAGCAAAAGCAGCAGATGAACGTCTCCAAACATTCTAAAAACTCAGAACATCTGTCTCATGTCCAGCCCCCCAGGACATTTTCAAGAACAGGTCCAGACAGTGGCGGTCTGAACACAGCGTGTCACTAATGTAAAGAGTGTCACTGACAGCTCCCAGTGCTGCCTGTAAATTCTGGCTGTTGAACTGTGGTTGGCGTAGAGGTCAAGACCAGTCTGAACCTGTTGGTCTGGAAATAAGTCACACGGTGTCTTCAATCTGCTGTTGACCTTAAAGCTTTGGACTTCAGCACAGTGTGTTGGGATAATCAGACTTCTCAATCCAAACTGTTGTTAGCTGATATTAGTTTTGGATCATGATTAATCAAGAAAAATTTCTAAAAAAAAAAAAATTCTAAAATTTTCAAAAAAAAGAGTGTTTATATATTCGTATCTATCTGAAAATATATTTAATTATGTCTGCGTGTGTATATATAAATTTTGTATTTTTACACATTCTCAGGTGGCTCTGGCGTCAGAGGATCCGTGTGCACTTGGAGGGAACAGGAATCAATCCGACGCCCGTGGACCTGCACGAGCAGCAGCTGAGTCTGGAGCAGCACAGCCAAGCTCACCGCATCACAACCAACGACGTCCGGCAGAGTACTAAACCTGTCCGTCTGTCACTTTCTGCCTGAAAGTTCCTGTTTGTGTTTCCACTTACTCAGTCGGTCTTCACAGGAGCAGGAACGATACACGATAGAGCCTCCAAGCCCAGCCTGCTCCCAGTCAGAAGCCTAAATGAGATCTTCATCGGGGAGTCTCTGTCATCCAGGTACCCTAATCTGCTTCGTTAATCCACCGTGGCCGTGCTTGTCCCTCTCGCGCTCCTCAGCGGGCTCACAGTCCACCACATGGCGAAGTTAAAACACTACGTTATCCTCTTGCTTCATAGGGCTTCCTACTACGAGATCTCTGTGGACGACGGTCCGTGGGAGAAGCAGAAGAGCTCGGGACTCAGCATCTGCACTGGAACGGGATCCAAAGCCTGGTATGGATGTATGGATGTTTTTTTTAAACATTTTTTATCACTTCCAGGAGCATTTCATCGACTTTTGTTCTCAAACCTTTAGCTATTACGATTAACACGAGGGTGTTTTGCTAGCTGATTTTTAGCTAGCAAAGTAAAGTTTAAAGTAATTGTTTTATAGCTAAACATAAACAACCAAAGTTTCTGAAACATTTTGGAATCTTCTTTTAGGATTTTGTTTCTCCCACATTTTGTAATCAAACTTTCTTTTGTTGTTTTAGCTAAAATAATGCTATTGTTGCTCGATTTCTAGCTTAAAACTATTCTTTGACTATCATTACCTTTAACTAACCTTTAAAGCTTCAAGCAGCAGTTTCAAACATTTGGACCTTCTTTTTTTTAATAGTGTGTTCACATTTCACACTTTTTTGTATCTTTTAGCTATGTCTTACTTATATTTTTGGACAACTTTATTTCATGGATTTTCCTAATTTGTTTTATGGTGGCTTTTTGGCTATTCTCCAGCTTTTTTACCAGCTAATGGTTAGATTTGTTTGTCAAACTTGTTAGCAAAATTTGCAATAGTCTAACATGTTAAAGACAAGTTTATTTGTTTTAGCCAGTTTGAACTTCTTGCTTTTAGTATTTGCAAATGGTTTATTGGCTAAAAGGAAGAAAAAAAAAAATCCAGCAGTTAGTAGATACAGTTGGTTAAAAAGTTAACAGTTTAGCCCAGCAATCAATAGCCAAACATAATAGATAGAAAAAAAACTTTGAATTTTTTTTCTATCTATTAACTGTAGATCAGAAAGAAAAAAAAAACAGAATAGAAAATGGCTCAAACATGCTGAACTGCTTCTGTCATCTGTCATTTTCTTCTCATCTCCACAGGTCGTATAACATCAACAAACTTGAAGAACAAGCTGTGGAAGAGGTTTTGAAAATCGGTATGTGGACTAATGATTGTTGCAGGTGTGTTTGTTGTGTTGGACTCAGGTTATACTTTTTCTCCCCCTTCAGGAAAATCTCTGTCATGTTTTGAGATTCCGCTGAATCGTGAATTTATTGAGAACGGTGAGTTGATTGATTTTTTTTGTTTTTTTTTTTGGCTTTTTGGTGAGTTGATTGATTTTTTTTTTTTTTTTTTTTTTTGGCTTTTTTACTTGCACATTTGTGACTCATGTCCTTGTGTGTATGTGTGTGTGTTTTTTAGTCACTGACAAGTACAACGAGTCGCTGGTATTTGCTCTAGACGACAGGCACCTCCTGTACAGCGTCAGAGAGCCAATAGTCAACAGAGTCTTCTCTAACAGTCGACAGAGAGGCTTCGCCAACAAGTGAGTGTAAAACTTCAGACTGGACTACAGACAGAGATGGAGACATATTGCATCAGTGCTTTAATGAACCAAATAGTCCAGTGAAACAAGTGTGCAGTAGTAGAATTGACTAGGGTGTCAGGTGATACTCGTGACTTGTTGGATGCCTAATTTCTTCGTCCGCAAAACACTGAAAATGGCCCATACTGTTGAAATGAAGTCGTGATATGTAGACTGTAACAAGAGTCTAATATCAACATATAATATCTGAAAATAAAGAGGTTTCACATATGATCATAAGTCAGAGAGTTTCAGGACTAAGAAAAAAACACAACAAATTTTCTACCTTCGGTTCTTAATTTCAGTCTAAACCAGGCAAACTAAGGCCTGGGGGCCAGATGGTGTTCTTTCAGCTTTTTTATCTGGCCCGCCAAACTTTTCCAAATGATATAATTTATTTATATTATCATTATACTTTTACCTTATCCCTGCAATACCCATGTTTAATTTTAGGACAATTGTGGCCCGCCAATCAAAGATTTTTAAAATTTTAAAAATTCCTGGACTAAACTGTTCTTCGGTGGTGATTCCATGTGGGAGTTATTTCTTTTTACGCTAGGATTCTGGAGAAGGTCATTGATACCTGGTCAAAAACAAGGATTGTATATACAGTTCCTTCAAGTGTTCTTTTAGTCAAAGTAGGAAAATGTCAAATGACTCAGGTGGATCTAGATCAAAACTGTTGATGAGCTCCAGTCATTTGAACAGGTTTGGTTTGGTTACACAGGTGACATTTGCTCTCATTTCAAAGTGTGTCATTTATGAGGTTTAAATAAATAAAAAAAAAAGCTGATTAAATAAAAATTAAATAAAGGCTTAACACAGCTCAAGACTTGACAAAGACTAAACATTTGTCAAAGCAAATTAATTAGAGTTGGAGCATAAGAGTTTCTTTCAAAAGAACATTATTTTTAGTTTTCCGTTAGTGCTGTGGCGCCCCCAAGGGGTTGCTCTCTTTATTATTCTCAAACTCGTTTTAAAAAAAAAAACCAAAAACATCTTCTGTTTTCTCAGAGTCTGCGTTCGCTCTCGTTGTTGGGACGCCTGCATGGTGATCGATGGCGGGACGTCGTTCGAGTTCAATGACGGCGCCATCGCCACCATCAGCATGAGCGAGGAGGACCAGCTGCGGACTGTGGTTCTAGAGAACTGAGGCCGGTCCAGAGAGTCGATTCAAAGCCGACACTCCTCAAAGGAAAGAGCCAGATTTTAGTTTCTAACTCCAGAAAGTGTTAAATAGTTTAATACCTGAGCGAGAAAAAAGGTAAAGATGTT